GATTCCTGCGCCCATCTCGGAAGAGCCCGGCAAGCTACCGAGAGTATCCCGCCCGCACGGCAGAGCCTGGCAAACTCCCCGTGACGTATTCGATATGCCAAACACAGTAACAACAAGTCTCACAATGGAGACGTTACTGGGCCCGCTCGAGCAAATCGACGAACAATGGGAGGACAGTGACAGTGACAGTGATGTTGAGCCCCAGAGCTGCTGCCCCACGGAGGCTGCAGTTCCAGATTTAACCACCAGAGGGCAGAGCGGCCGCGTCCTTCTTCGGAACCTCGGGATTCAAAGCCGCTGGTTCCGGAGAAGGGCAAGGGGAAGGCCCAGACACGCACGCGCACACACAGCACACAGCACCCACGTACACACACCGCACACACCGTACAAATGCTCACACCACACATGCACAAACACCTACACTCGACACACGCGCACACACCACACCCGTGCAAACACATCTGCTCCACACACGCGCACACGCTACACACAAACACACCACAACACGCAAACACGTACACTCCACTCATGCACACCTCGCAAACACATGCATACACCACACGCGCGCGCACACATACCACACACATACACACACAACACACACATGCACACCCCACCACACGCACTCATACCACACAGGAGCACACATAGGCACACACGCCCCCATATGCTCACACACATGTGCACACCACACATGCACACACCTACACTCATGCATATACGTACACATGCCACACACATACACAGTATGCACACATACACACACATGCGAACACATGACACACACGAAGATACACACAGCACACATTCACTACACACATACATGTGAGCACACATGCACACACAACACTGCACACATACACGCACATGCAGACACCACACAAATGCACACATGCACATAGGTATGCGTACACCATGCACACAGCACACCTACCACAGACCCACTCGCATGCACTCACTTGTGTGCACACATACCACGCACACATCATCATGACCACGTGCACACCGCACAACTTGTGCACACACCACACAGACCACACATGTATGTACAAACACAGGGCACACACGTGTACACATGCAGATGTGCACACACATGCACACCATACACATGTGCACAGACCACACATGCACACTGATCACCCACACATGTACACAGACACCAAACAGACTACACACGCACACACATATGCCATACGCACACGCACCATAAGACCACACACATGAGCAAATGCATAAATGCAACACACACCACACAGACATGCACACACATATACACACACAAACTACACAGCACATACAACATACGTGCCTGGCCCCTGCCAGACATACACACAACGCTGCTCTGACAGTCTCAGACCCAAGCCTGGGATGGCCACAGGCTCAGCACTCAGGGCCCAAGGCCCTGGGAGTGACAGGATGGGACCCCGCTGGGCCCGGCTGGCTGGAGGGGCCGGGAGCAGAAGGGTCAGGACACAGTCCAGGAGGATGAGCTGCAGGCTCACCGCCTCCTCCTCCCTTCATCCCTTCCTCCCTCTCTCCCTCCCCTCCTCCCCCCTCCCCCTCCCCTTCTCACCTCCTCCACTACTTCACTCCTCTCCCCTCCCCTCCCCTCTCCTCTCCTCTCCTCTCCTCTCCTCTCCTCTCCTCTCCTCTCCTCTCCTCTCCTCTCCTCTCCTCTCCTCTCCTCTCCTCTCCTCTCCTCTCCTCTCCTCTCCTCTCCGCTCCTCCCTTCTCCTGTCCTCCCCTCTCCTCTCCTCCCCTTCCCTCCTTCCCTCCTCTCCTCTCCTTCCCTCCTCTCCTCCTCTCCCTCCCCTCCCCTCCTCTTCCCTCTTCTCCCCTCTTCCTTCCCGTCCATCCTCCCACCCTCCCCACTCTTTCTTCCCCCCTACCCACTCTCTTCACCCTTCCCCTCCTCTCCTCCTCTCCCCTCTCTGCTCTCTGACACCCCCTGTCCAGTTTTGAGGTGAGGGCAGGGTTAGAGGCCTCTGGCTGGAGGGACAAGCTGGACAACTGGGCTGCTGGGGTCAGGGCCTGGCTGGCCTTGCCCTTTGTGGGTTTGCATACATCCATTCCGCATCTCCCAGAATCCACTCAGGGCCCCTGGCCTGCAGGGGTAGGAGTCAGAGAAGCCAGCTGTGGGGTCAGGGGAGGACTGGGGGAGACCCAGAGGACAGCTGTGGGGTCATATAGGACTCGCATAACCTGGAGGGCTCGTGGCCTCTACAGTCCCGCTGGCCTGAGGGGTGGGGCCGCCCCTCCCGTGCCGGCTGACCAGAGCAGAGCTCTGAGAGGCATTGCGTGGCCTGCTAGCGCCTAGGGCCTGCAGAGATAAAGTGCGGGGAGGGCCCTGCATATGCCAGGCTGGACGCTCCCCCCTGCTCCTCGCAGGCACCCTGATGTCCATCTGCCACATGGCCCTCGGGCAGTGCCTGCGGCTCCACTCTCCCAGGTCCAGATGGTCACCCTGTCCCTTCCCCCCTCCCCCTCTGCCCAGCGTCCTGTCTCCAGCCTTGCTTGGAGCAAGCACCTGGGTCAAAGCCAACATCACCTTCCAGCACCTTCTCCTTCCGCCTGGGGAGTTTGGGGTTGCCATGGAGACCCCAGCTGGTCCACCTTGCCTCAGCTTCCCACGGTTGGGGGAGGGGGAGAATAGACAGCCCACATGCTCTCACATGTCTGTTTGCTTGTACACATCCATGCAGTCAGATGCATGTATACATGTACACATGCACCCACATATGTGTGCACACGCAAATGCATGTACATTCCTATGTGCACACACTTACATACACGTACACGCGCACACATGCATGCATGCATGTGCCCATGTGCTCATATACATACGTATGCCCTCACACGCTATGCACATAATCTCTTCTGGAGCAGACAGCCGGAAAGGACCGTGTGGCAATCACTGTGCAGGGCTGAGAGTTGAGACAAGCAGTGACGGTGCAGGGGATGAGTCTGTGAGGCAGCCTGTTGTGCTGGCGTCTGTCCGACAGCGTCCCTGTGTTCGCGGAAATGGTGTGCTCAGAGTGCAGTCTCATGGGACATGTGTGTGGTGGGGAGTTGTGAGCACGCCGTTCTGAGCTGGACCTGAGGCGGGCCCCACATGTCCCCAGCTCCTACCCAGCAGCTGCAGAGGTGGGCTTGGGTGGGGAGGGGACCTGGGAGAGCCGGCAAGTGTCAGCATTGTTGCTAGGAAAGGCTGGTGGCAGGGGACACGTGCACCCCAGCCCTGCCACCTCCTGAGGGCCCCCACACACGGATGGAATGTGGTCCCTGGCATGAGCCTCTCCCGGTTAAGTCCGACCCCCAAAGCGAGTCTCCAGAGTATGAGATTTGCCTTCACTTCACCAAAGAGATTTGGAAAAGGCCCCCAGGTTCCCTAGTTGAGCTTGAATTTATGATTTGAAAAAAAATGAAGAATTTTTAGTACAGATGAGTCCCAAATACGGCATAAACTATACTTAGACTAGAGAAGGATTCACTGAATCCTGAAGTTAAACTTTAACTGGGTATCCTGTATGTTCATTTGCTAAATTGGGACACCCAAGACTGGAAACCCAAAGACACAAATAGGTTGAAAGTAAGAGAATTTCAAATACATATTTGGGGGTAGGAGAGATGGTTCCAAGGATTGGAGCACTTGTCTTGCATTCTGGAGCCCTGGGTCTGACCCTTGAGACCGCATGATGTCCTGAGCACTGCCTGGAGTCACCCCCAAGCACCAAGCCAGGCATATTCCCTGAGCACCACTGCGTGTGATCCAGAGGGGGGTATATATTATATATCACTCGTATCACTTGTCATCCCATTGTTCATCTATTTGCTCGAGCGGGTGCCAGTAACGTCTCCATTCATCCTGTCGTGTGCTAGTGTAGCCCAATGGCATCTACTCGATTCTATTCTATTCATTTTATTTATATTTATTTATAAATATATTTTTATAAATATATTTATAAATATATTTATTTATAAATAAATTTATTTATAAATAAATATATATTTATTTATATTCATTTATATTCTATTCTATTCATATTCTATTCATTCTATTCAATGGCATCTATTCCATACAGGAACACAAAGAGCCTCCGTTATTGTTACTGTTTTATATATGTATTTGTATATATAATTATGTATATATATAATTGCAATTTTAATCAAAATGAAGCTGGATGGTATTCCAGAATGAGACAAAAGTTGTTATCAGATAAAAAAGACATCAGTCACAAAACCATTAATTCTTCAAGAAGATACAGCTGTGTTTGATTTTGGGGGGAGCTGTTTTGTTAGGGCAGCAGGGCCCAGGAGTCACTGCCTAGAAATCCTGGGGGGACCATATGTGAAGTCAGGATTTGAACCAGCTCTGCGCTGGGCAAGCACACTTATCGTAAACAAACATACACCTAACAGAGTTCCAAAATAATATAAAGCAAATATTGACTAATTCAAGGGCACCCACAGTTCCATAATAGTAATGAAGATTTCAATGCCCTGCTTCCAATATTGCATAAGACCTGACTGTCTGTCCTGACTGTCCTCCTGACTGTCCTCGTTGTTCATCGATTTGCTCGAGCAGGCCCAGTAACGTCTCCATTTTGAGATTTGTTGTTACTGTATTTAGCATATTGAATATGTCACGGGTAGCTTGCCAGGCTTTGCCGTGCGGGCAAGATACTCTCGGTAGCTTGTCAGGCTCTCCAAGAGGGGCAGAGGAATTGAACCCGGTTCGGCCGGGCTGGCTGCGTGCAAGGCAAACACCCTACCACTGTGCTATTGCTCTCACCACCGCATAAGATCACTAGAAACAAAAAGTTTAGAGGGAAAGATATTGAAGAGAGTGATGAGTTAAGCAAACAAATGTGGAGCGTCCAGCAACAGGAGAATATGGACATTTCCTGAGCACACAAGGCACACCTCCAGGTTGATCGTATATTATTAGCCACCTAACAAGTCCTTATAAATGAAAAATATGTTCATTCAAAATCTCTTCCCTTATCTGTGTGGGTGTTTGTCTGACACATGAACAAGACTTTGAGAGAGGTGCAAAAACAAATCCTCTTTTGCAACTCAGAATTCATTGTTCTGTATGAATTCTAATACAGATGAAAGAAACATGAACAAACAAACATAAAACCACTTTTCTAAACCTCAATGAAATTAAAACTAGAAACAACAAGAGAAGAAAAGATAGAAGAATGCAAAATATATGGAAAAAAATTTTTTTTCAGTTTTGAGGCCACACCCAGCAGCACTCTGGGCTCACTCCTGACTGTGCTAAGGAGTCACTCTTGGCAGGACTTGGGGGCTCTCTGTGGTGCCAGGGATCAAACCCAAGCCAGCCATGTGCTAGGCAAGCACCCACTGAACCATTGTTCCAGACACTTATTTAATTTAATTTTTTTGTTGTTTTTGGAAAATACATGGAAATTAAACAACACTGGAACAAGAGAAACAAAGAGATCACAAGGAAAATGAGAAAATTAGAAAATACTTTGAAACAAAGTGTTTTGCAAACAAACACAACATATCAAAACTTAGAGATACATCAAAAGCAGTGCATAGAGGGAACTTTGTAGCTGTAAGTGCCTACATTATAAAGAAGAAATATTTCAAATAAATAATCCACTTTACACCTTCAGAATCCTCTGAAGCCTAGAGAGAGAGTAAAAGGGGTGAGGTCCTTGCCCGACACGTGGTTGACTCCACTCCATTCCCCAGCACCTCAGGGTACCCTGAATTCCACTGGGGTTGAACCTTGAGAAAAAAACTAGGAATAGCCCCTAACATCACCAGGCCCAATTTCCCAAAAAAAAACCTTTACAGAAGAGCAAACTAAAAACAATGCAAGCAAAAAGAAAGAAAATGAATAGATGTCAGGGAAAAATAGAGAAAATCAGTGCAACCAAAATAACTTTTGGTTATTTAAAAAGATAAAACACACAAACCATTATCTCAATTGACTAAGAGAAAATAATTACTAAAGACGCAAATGACTAAAATAAGAAATTAAATTACCAACTCTACAGAAATTTTTTAAGGATTCTAAGAGGGGCTTTAGAGAAAACAGAGGTTATGGCATTTGCCTTGCATGTGGCCGAGCCAGGCCAACCCAGAAGTACATTGGGCCCCCCTACTAGCCAAGAGTGAGCCCTGAGTGCAGCAGGTATGCCCCAAAATCAAACCAAAAAGAGAATATGAATAGTTCTTTGCCAATAAACCTTGATAGCCTCTAAATAAACTAATTCCCAGAAAGACACAACTACTAAAATGAATTAAAAAAGAAACTGGAAATCCAAACTAATAAGAAGTCAAGAGGGGCCGGAGTGATAGCACAGCGGATAGGGCGTTTGCCTTGCACGCGGCCGACCTGGGTTCGATCCCCGGCATCCCATATGGTCCCCCAAGCACCGCCAGGAGTAATTTCTGAGTGCAAATCCAGGAGTAACCCTGAGCATTGCTGGGTGTGACCTAAAAAGAAAAAAAAAGTCAAGAACCTGAATCAATAAGGAAAAATAATCTTTCAAGAAAGAAAGGTTTAAACCATGGGACTGGAAAGATAGTACAGATGGCCTGGTGCTTGCTGTGATTATGACTGATCTGGGTTCAATCCCCGGTTTCCCGTATGATCCTCTGAGCACTGCTAGAAGTGGTTCCTGAGTGAAGAGCCAGGAGTAAGCCCTGTGTATCACCAAGAGAGGCTCAAGAAAAAATAAAACAAAATCAAAATCCAGACTAGATTATTTTATTGGAGAATTCTACCATTCATTTCAAGAAGGATCTCCATCAAACATTTCAAAGCCTTCCCAGAAAAGAAGACAGAGGAATGTGTCTAACTCATTCCAGCACATACTTAATTTGGACAAAGATGCTCCCAGGAAGAATACGCTAGCCCAGCATCCCTTAGGAACTGGGACATTCTAAATATTCACAGTATTTGTTATTGAATGTGTATGAGAGAGGGAGCTGTACTATAAATCAGTCTTTTATTATTACTCTTTAATTAACATTGTTTTCAATGAGTTACTTTGGAAAACTCCCACTTACCAATGCCTGACACCCCCTAAACTCAGACTTGCTCTGTGATTCTCTTGAGTTTAATGTCTTGAGTTTATTTTCATGAATTTAGTGGCTGTGAGATCTTTTACACAGCCTCAGCCAGTGATTGTGTCTCAGAAATTTGCAACTCTAGAAACACTTAAAATTCACTATCACCAAGAATGGTGCAACTCTGGAATATGCTGTGAGGTGGAATCAGCACTTCCCTTTTTTTCACGTTCTCTTTTCTAATGGTTGATACAATTTCAAGTCTAAAATGAGGAAGAAGAGTTCCTTAGTGAATTGTTATGAAGACGCAGGTACTGTCTGCTGATCAGGACTTTGAGAAGCCATTTTTAAAAATATGTCTGAGTGTATTTATCAACTATTTCACCAATAATACATTTCCATCTCATTTCCATCCAGTCCTTCCCATTCCATTTAATTTAAAGAGTATTTCACATATTCTTTTAAACAGGATTTTAATTTTTAAATTGAGATTGTATAGTTTAAAATGCTATCAATAGGGCTGGAGCGATAGCACAGCGGGTAGGGCGTTTGCCTTGCACGCAGCCAACATGGCCGACACAGGTTCTATTCCCAGCATCCCATATTGTCCCCCGAGCACTGCCAGGAGTGACTCCTGAGTGCATGAGCCAGGACTAACCCCTGAGCATCGCCGGGTGTGACCCAAAAAGCAAAAAAAAAATGCTATCAATAATGGTTTCTCATGCACATAATTCCAACACAATAGCAGTCACCAGTGCACCCCTGCCTTTCCCAAGGACCCCAACATACCTCCAACCACCCCTCAACTCAGTGGTGTGGATCAATTCTCCCATTGTTACCTTTGGCCCTTTGATGCTTCCTTGTCATCTATCTTGAAGTCCCACATAAAAGAGAGATAGTCCTGTATCATCCAATTCAGTTTCTTCTACACACTTCACTCATCATGATACCTTCCAGAGCCATCCTTGTCATGACAAATTTCATGATTTTGTTCTTTCTTTGAGTTGCATAGTATTCCACTGTGTATACAGACCACAACTTTTTGATCTGCTCATCTATTGTTGGGTGTTTGGGTTGTTCCTTATCTTGGTGATTGTATCAAGTGTGGTCATGAACACGGGTATGCATGTATCCTTTCAAGTTAGTGCCTTGTGTTTGGAGAATTGATGTCAAGAAGTGATATTGCTGGGTTATATGGGAGTTCTATTCTTATTTTTCTTTTTGAGAGACCTCCATATTGCTCTCCATACAGGCTGAACCAGATGAGATTCCCACCACATGGATGAGGTTCCTCACTCACCACAACCCACCAACACTATTCCCAGATTTTTTGATATGTGCCAAACTCACGGCTGTGAGATGATATCTCGTTGTTTTTGTTTACATTTATCTAATTATGCAGGCTGATGAGCACTTTTTCATATGCCAGTTGGCCATCCATATGTTTGTGTGTGTGTGTGTGTGTGTGTGTGTGACTGTTCATCTCCATTAATGAATGGGGTCATTGGATTTTCTGTTGTTGAGTTTAGTGAGTGCTTTATAGATCTTAGAAATCAACCCTTTATCTGCGTATAATGTACAAATATTTTCTCCCATTTAGTAAGGTATCTCTTTATTAGAGTCTGAGTGTTTTACCGTGCATTAGATTTCTAATTTAATGTAATCCCGTCTTGTAAAATATTTTTCTTTTTGTTGGCCTTGCTGCTTGTGGTCATCTTGTTGAGGATTCCTTTGTACTCAATTTCTGGAGAATCTGCCAATGTTTTCCTCCATGCATTTTACGGAATCTTGTCTAATATCAAGATTTTTAATCCACTTTGATTAAAGTTTACTTTTGTGAAGGGTGTGAGGTATGTTTCTAATTTCATTTAAAAATATATGGCTTGGGGCTGGAGCGATAGCACAGCAGGTAGGGCGTTTTCCTTACACATGGCCAACCTGGGTTCAATTCCCAGAATCCCATATGGTCCCCTGAGCACCGCCAGGAGTAATTCCTGAGTGCAGAGCCAGGAGTAACCCCTGAGCATCTCTGGGTGCGACCCAAAAAGCAAATATATATATATATATATATATATATATATATATATATCCAGTTTTCCAACAACATGTATTAAATAGATTTTCTTTGCTCCACTTTGTGTCTTTAGCTCCTTTTTCATAAATTAACTGACCATAAATCTGCGGGCTTAACTAAGAACTCTCAATTCTGTCCCATAGATCTGCAGGTCTATCTTTATGTCAGCACCATGCAGTTTTGATTACTATATCTTTGTAGTATAGTTCAAAGTTGGGGCATGTGACGTCTCCCATCTTCTTTTGTTTTCTTAGGATTGCTTTGAATAGTTTTGGGGTTTTATGGTTCCATACAAAGTTTAGTAAAGTCAGTTTCATGTCTTTTAAAAGTGCCATTGGAATTTTAATGGGTGTCACATTGGCCCTGTATAGTGCTTTGGGTAGGACGATCATTTTGGCAATGCTGATTCTTCCAGGTCCTGAACAGGAATGTCTTTCCGTTTTCTGGTCTAATTCTCTTCTATCTCTCTGGATGGTGACTTACAGTATATGTAGAGTGGGTGTAAGGCTTTTACCCTCGAGGAGTTAGTTTGGACACTGCTGTCCCCCAATCTCAGAATCTGTAGTGTTATTTTCTACTCAATGCCCATAGAGATATATTTGCCCTGCTCTCAAACACACACATGGTAGGAAAGTGTGACTCTAACATAGTATTCCCTGTAGTATTTCTGAGACCCATGACCCAGGGGAATGAACTGGGATCCTGCATGAGGTTCCAGCCCTTTGAGCCAGCTATCTGGTGCTTCCTTTCACATATTTTATTAAAATCTTCCACTGACATAATGACTAAGAATTTTATTTGGGGGAAGCACACCCAGCAGTGCTCAGGGATCACTCATGACTCTGTGCTCATGGTTCACTCCTGGCAGTGCTGGGGGAGCATCTGAGGTGTCAGGGATGGAGCCCAGGACTACCGCACACACCTGCCCACTGCATCACCCCAACCCTGTCTATGAAAACCCAATCAATCAATAAATAAACAACTATTTCATGTTCTGC